ACTTCTCACCAAAGGAATACGGAGGGAATATGGGTGGTTTGCTACGATGTAAGTGGTATGTCATGTTCATGCTGTGAAGGTTTGCCTCGGCGGGACCAGTGAATATAGTTCGTCCGAGCACTTTCTGTGGAAGTAGCGGTAGTGCAGTAAGAGGTTCCCAGCCCTAACTATAGTCCCCATGTATACAATTTCTGTCTGTAGCGGAAAATGAATATAAATAACAATTTTAAAAGCTCTAACCCTAATGTGTATTTATAATGTATTTTAATATATTTACAAGAAACTATACAAAATAGTGCTTATTTTGTGATCGGGGAAACATCCTCTTCGCAGGAAGAAGCTGTTTAAGGGGAAATTACTTCACGTCGAACCTTATGGTGACTGTCCAATGGTTCACCATTGGCAATATTTATTACAGCTTTCTGGAATCTAACTAGAGCATCACTGCTGAAGTTTACTGCCAGAAACTAGATAAAATGTCCATTCAGTTAAACAAAATATACTGGTTAATCGACAAGGTCTAATTCTGATTCAGGACAATACTCAGCTTATTTGGAAAACAGAATGTGCTAAGATATAAAGTTTCACATAATAAAAACATGTGCATCACATGTGGTGCACAGAGCCTAGCGTGAATAACTTATTATTTGAACGTTTTTATTATATGAAACACTATATATCATCAGATTCTATTTGACAGATAAGCTGAGTTGCCTTGCAAATATTTATAAATCTGTAAACAAGCATTAATTATTTGGATAGGTCACACAAAAAATGCCCTGAACAGACAAAGGGTTAATGAATTTTTCGGTAATCCAATGTCCGTTCGTATTCCGGTGTCACATTCTAGGTCTTCTGTAAAACAGTTGGCAGATATTTTCTTTGTTTCTGTCGAAATTTTCTTGTTTAGAAGCATACGGTCTTGCTTTTGGAATTCATTTTTGGCTCTTTCAATGTGTCTTCGGCTTTCGGTACCACATTTTCAAACACTTTTCATATATTCAAATTTATGCATTATTATGTTTATTATGGTCAGTCAGATTAACATAAAAACGAATATATTCATAAAATATTATTTATAAAATAATATAAACTTAGGCACATGAAGAGGTTGACGCTGGGTTTGTACAAGCCCGGATGATGTTGGACAAATTTCTTTTTTCATTATGGTGACAGTTCAGTGGTTCACTATTGGTGATTTTCATTACAGCTTTATGGAATCTAACCAGAGCATCACTTCTGAAGTTTACTGTCAAAAACTGGATAAAATGTCCATTCAGTTAAGCAAAATACACTGATTAATCGACAAGGTCTAATTCTAATTCAGGACATATACTCGGCTTATTTGGAAAACAGAACGTGCTAAGATATAAAGTTTCACATAATAAAAACATGTGTATCACATGTTGTGCACAGAGCCTAGAGTAAATAACTTATTATTTGAACGTTTTTATTATATGAAACACTATATATCATCAGATTCTAAGATCTGAGAATTATATGATTTTGTAAAGAAATTCGAAATCAATGTCGTTTTCATCAACAACAAAAAAAACGCTTAAAAGTCAGAGATCGATATTTGGAATTGTTTTCTGTGAATGATCCATTTCTGGATCGAATAGTGACATATGATGAGAAATGAATTCTTTATGACAACCATAAGCGATCAGCACAATTGCTTGATCATGACGAAACATTCAAACACTTTCCAAAACCGAAATTGCGCCCAAATAACCTTATGGTGACAGTCCAGTGGTTCACCATTAGCGATCTTCATTACAGCTTTCTGGGATCTAACCAGAGCATCACTTCTGAAGTTTACTGTCAAAAACTGGATAAAATGTCCATTCAGTTAAGCAAAATACACTGATTAATCGACGAGGTTTAATTCTGATTCAGGACAATACTCAGCTTATTTGGAAAACAGAATGTGCTAAGATATAAAGTTTCACATAATAAAAACCTGTGCATCACATGTGATGCACAGAGCCTAGAGTAAATAACTTATTATTTGAACGTTTCTATTATATGAAACACTATATGTCACCAGAATTCTATTTGCCAGATAAGCTGAGTTGCCTTGCAAATAGTTATAAATAGGAAAACAAGCATCAACGTTCGGATAGTACACACAAAAATGCACTGGACAGGCAAAGGGTTAAATTATATATTTTAAATCGTTAGATTTATTACAAAAGGCATCATCTCTATAAATATACAACCAAGATATTTGGAAAAGCAGACAACCGTGAAGACATGTCATTTGGACATCAGAAAAGTCGAAAGAGGCCGGGCGAATTTAACTGCCTGGGTGATTAGCGGTGTAGTAGTGGCGCTGGTGGGGCTGCTAATGGGAAAAAAGTTTTTAAAGTCCGTTGATATCCACTTAAGTCCCTCTTCTTTCACCTGCTTTGCGTTCGTCTGCGTTTTGAAGGGTTTGTGATTGACCAGAAGTTTGACAAAATTATAACAGGAGACTGGTTATTTGGTGCAGAGGCTAGGAGCAGGAGCGGGTCATATAGAAGTGTCACCCTAATTCGAGAAAAAAGGCCTTGAACTCGGACAGACGTCACACTAACGAAATATATGCACCTATACACATACACACACACACACACGAGCGCAGATATTTTTACGTGATTTTTCAGAGGGTCCCCCAAGCTATGATACGCCCCCCACCCACCGAATCTATGATATGAGGCCCCCACTCTACGACATGTCAATTTTCATAAAGCAGTATTCATATTCTGTCTATATTTCTGAGATGAGGTATTATGTACATTATTTACATTATTCGGACTATTGTCCTCATCTTTGTCGCCATATTTATCACAACGTTTCGGTAGAACAGTCTACCCCTGTGAGCGAAATAAAGGGTTCAGTTCGAAATTCCAACCACCCGAAGAAGGCCAGTGCGTAAAACGGCCGAAACGTTGTGATAAATATGGCGACTTTTTTAAAACGGGTTTAGCGCCATGCATGACATTCATAAGAAAGTCTCGATTTGATGAGGCTATTTAAGAAAATGACTTGAATTCTTATGCTAATGTTTTGTAGCAATTTGGACAACTAAAACTCATGGAGAGGCGATCTATCCCTGAGCATTCCGTCTCTCCTTGAGTTCGGAACGCCAAAAATTATACTTACGTTGCTTAACAAGTCAAATGCACATGAAACCCGATGGTTTGTCAATGGTTCAAATGCGAGCGTGGGTGCATATGCAACATAATTTTATTGTCTAATTATGATACAACATTTGGCATTAATTGACCGGGCTGCCAATGTCACTGATATTTGAAAGCCATAAAATCTTACTCTTTTTCAGGAAAATAGGTTTCTCAAGTCCAGTAGCTGTTATCGCTCTTTCCTTTATTGATGAGCGTTTCCTTCCTAACCTTTTGTTTTAAGTCGTGTGGAATGTCAATATCTTGATTATGTCATTATTCGCTCTTCGAGTTACATGGGATATCCATTTTAGTTGTTGCTCCTGTTGACGTTGAAGCTTCTTAATGTGCAGGAGCCACCGAGAACTTCACTTTGCACTCTCGATAGAGTCCAAAGGCGTCTCCGCGTCCCTGTGGGTGACTAATTATTTTCCACTCAGCAATCCCTTTCGCACCGACGAAACGTCGCAATTCCCCTCGTTGCCCTATTGCTATTTCCATGGGGTGTTCAGGTGAACTACATTCCTTAGTTCCACCAGTCCTAAACTTCACGGCAAAGACCCGCCATGCAGTAGCATGCAAAGTGGGTCAGAGGGCGCGTGGGCCCCGGGAATCCATATCGGGTAGGCATCCAATCAAAGAGTCAAATAAAGATTTAGTTTACACTATTTACATTATTCGGACTATTGTCCTCATCGCCATATTTATCATAACGTTTCGGCCGTTGCACTCTCCAGTCTTCTTCAGGTGGTTGGAATGTCGAACTGAACCCTTTATTTCGCTCACTGGGGTAGACTCTTCTAGTTCCACGTGCCATGTCTAATGGATGTCAGTTATCAGTTATCTCCTGTTAATTCCCTTCTCCAAGTTCTCCACTGCCTTAACCAGGTATTGAACCCACACTCTTCGGGTCCTTTCACTGGATCTAACGAACGCCTTTATCCACTGTTCCATGTGTCCTTAGTTTATAATTAATTTGAATCAGGTGTCTATTACATGTTTCATCAGTTTTTATATATTTAAAATGTCTTTCTTTCTCACATTTCCCAATACTAGGTTCTATAGGACCCGTCCTACTTGAGTCTTAGGGGCATACAGTCAAGGAATTGGCCCCAGGCATCACCAAACCTCTGCACGCCACTACTACCATGCCGTGCCCATTGAAGTGAACCACCCTCATTCCCTTCATATCCCCCGGTGAGATGCAAGTTCCGCCCAAGAAGCTTCTTCACACGAACCATTGCCTTGTGAAACCAAATTCCAAGAGGCCGCTTCCCCGATCACTATAATCTCAACCTCTTCATATCTAGGGTTAATCGTTATCTTCCGCATACATCCGCATAAGCTGTATCTTTTACTCTGTAATCCTCTACCTCGAGTGCCTCCGGGTATACTTTGGTTTCTTTTGTTTTGTTTTACGGCATATCAACCTCAAGGGGTTATTTAATGCCGATAAGATTTTTATTGCTGGCAATATTTCTTTTCCAAAAATGTATTGCTGGTAATAATTTTTTCTTCAAAAACGTACTGCTGGTAATAATTTTTCAAAGAAAAAATGTATTGCTGGTATTAAAATCTATTTTTATACTTTCATTGTGATTTGACCCCTTTTGGAGGGTTAGCTATTTGCCCAAAGTCTGTGATCTTCCCTGTGCCAAGTCATTAATCTAGCCCCTGGTCAGTCAGCAGTTCGCCCGAACAACGATAAAAATCAACAACAAAAGACAAACACGTGTGCTTGTTGGCGGGTGCTATTTAATTTACACACTTTAAGTGTATTTACAATGCCTCAGTATATACAATAATTCATTTATTAGTTGTTACGTTTATTAGAAAATGAAAACTGTACGACGGAGTTTTCTTCTGAATATAATTCTCTTTATCTATCTATCTATCTATCTATCTATCTATCAAATTCTGTTCATTGTCTATCATATTCTGCTCATTATCTATCTAATTTTGTTCATTATCTATCTATCTATCTATCTATCTATCTATCTATCTAGTTCCCTTCATTATCTATCTATCTATCTATCTATCTATCTATCTATCTATATATATATATATCTATGTCCGTTCTGTCTATAGATAAAAATAAAAGTAGATAAAATGAAAGAAATTGTGAGTAGGTCTCTGGATAGATAGATAGATAGATAGATAGATAGATAGATAGATAGATATTTGAAGGAATCCTGCGTTAAATATCGACAATCATAAAATATCTGATGACGTCAAGACATGTTTTTTTCAGAGTTACTTTTATCTGCCATGTTTTCAAATTTTTTGATAGCCTTTTTGTGATTACACCTTTAAATATCTTCAGAGGGAAAACAGAATGGATTGAACATTAAGAACCGAAAAGAGAAAAGCATAGAGAAGAGGAAATGGAAAGCGCTCTACTGGCGTGAATACAAACCCTAAAAACAAGTGTAAGTGATAACGCGGGCCATCATTGTCTCATGCTAATGATAATGGTCGTCGCTAAGACTGATGTAGCCATTATCGTCAAAGTTGTATCGCAATTAACAAGAATGTAAAAGTCTCGATTCGTCGCCCTGCGACTAATTACAAAAGCCTCGCTCGGAGCCGCCATGTTTTCCATTTTCTATCGTCTGCTTCATCGAATTTACACTCAGCGAGTATATTTTGTACCCGTTCGAGAATAAAGCTGTCCGCATACAACAAACTAACGAAAATATTCATTACTGATATTTATGAAGCTTAGACTAGTCTGGCACAGGGCCACAAATATCGAGCTTGCGTTTAGAATTGAACTTCTAAACGGGAGTAAATAATTTTCTGCTAGATTAGTTTGATGGCTGCTATTCCACAGCGAATAGCCTCATTGATTTGTACGGAATGTAATTACGTTTTACCAGAAATTATATGAAAACAACTCTTTTACAAAACAATGCATTAGTCACTCAAGGTAATAAGTCTGACCATAATTTCGTTTTTAAGATGTTGCCTTAATTTAAAAAGAAAGCAATTTACTAAGACGAAAATGTATAGAAAGTGCACTGATTGTTAAATCATTCACGGTAAATTTGCCTTCAGGTCTTTACAACATTTCACCTTTATTGTAAGAGCTGTCATAAAGGTGCCCAGAAAGTTCGGTAACGAAAAATTCCATAATTTTGATAATGTCGGAAAATTCGGTAACTTTGAAGTAAAAGTCGATTGAAAATTGATTTTAGAGCCGGGGAGTGGGGATTTGGGGGCTAAACCCACCCTCTTAACTATATTTTTAAATAAATCTTGGTGTCCAGATGATGGCTTTTATCCCCTAAAACCCACACCCAGAAAGTACGGGTCTGTTATTATTGCAGCTTGTTTTATCTGGACTGGAACCCATCATTTTTTTTAGTTAATAATTATTTAAACGTATTGAGGGGGGGGGGGTTAGCCCCCCTCCACAAAGTACGGCCCTGATTTTGTTGTGAAGTTTTATATAGACCCTCATAGTTAACAAAACTTTTAAAAGAATATTGGGGAAAGAGGCTTAGCTCCTAAGCCCCACTTCTGCAATACAGTCCTGGTATTGTTATGGTGGGGTTATATCTGGACACCACGATCTTAAATTATTTAAAAATATAAGGGAGGTGGGCTTAGTACTCAAATATCCAATCCAGAATGGTTCTAAAATCAATTTTCAATCGACTTTTATTTCATAGTTACTGAATTTTCCTCCCTTGTCAAAATGACCGAATTTTCCGTTACTGAATTTTCATAAATTCTTTATAATAATGCTGAATGTTTAAAAACAAAAGCGATAAAACAAAACGTACGGAAAGTGAATGAGATTGGCTCGGCTGTGCATCCAGACACGTCGGAAGTCAGACAATTTTAAAATAAAAACAATTATACAACTTAAAAAGATATTAATTATTTTTTTTTAATTTAGCATCCCCACATCTTCAGCGCTTCCCCTCGATAAATTGTCCCTCCCACAAAACCCCAGCCTCTTATCCCCAAAGTGGACAGTATCCCAGCCTCTTATCTCCAAAGTGGACAGAATCCCGGCCTCTTATCACCAAAGTGGACATAAAACCCAGCTTCTTATCCCCAAAGTGGACATAATACCAGCCTCTTATCTATAAAAGTGGACAGGATCCCAACCTCTTCTCCCCAACGTGGAACGAATCCCAGCCTCTTATCTCCAAAGAAGACAAAATAACAGCCTCTTATCTTCAGTGGACAAAATCCCAGCCTCTTTCCCCCAAAGAAGACAAAATCTCAGCTTCTTATCTCCAAAGTGGACAAAAACACCCAGCCTCTTATCCCCAAAGTGGACAGTATTCCAGCCTCTTACCTCCAAAGTGAACAGAATCCCAGCCTCCTATCTCCAAAGGGAACAAAATTTCAGCCTCTTATGTCCAAAGTGGACAAAATCCCAGCCTCTTATCTCCAAAGAATACAAAATCCCACCCTCTTATCTCCAAAGTGGACAAAAGTCCAGTCTCTTATCTCCAAAATGGACAAAATCCCAGTCTCTTATCTCCAAAAATGACAAAATCCAAAGCTCTTATCTCCAAAATATACAAATAAACCCAGCCTCTTATCCCCAAAGTGGACAGTATCCCAGCCGATTATCTCAAAACTGGACAGAATCCCAGCCTCTTATCTCCAAAGTGGACAAAATACCCCAGCCTCTTATCCCCAAAGTGGACAAAATCCCAGCCTCTTATCTCCAACGTGGACAAAATCACAGTCTGACATCCCCGAAGAAGACAAAATCTCAGCCTCTTATCTTCAAAGTGGACAAAATCCCAGCCTCTTTCCCCCAAAGTGGACCCAATCCCAGCCTCTTATCTCAAAAGTGGACAAAAAAATCCAGCCTCTTATCCCAAAAGTTGACAAAATCCCAACCTCTTATCCCCAAAGTGGACAAAACCCCAGCCTCTTATCCCAAAATGGACAGAATCCCGGCCTCTTATCTCAAAAGTGGACAAAACCCCAGCCTCTTATCCCAAAAAGTGGACAAAATCCCAGCCTCTTATCCCAAAGTGGACAAATCCCAACCTCTCATCCCAAAAGTGGACAAATCCAGCCTCTTATCTCCAAAGAAGACAAAACTTCAGCCTCTTATCTTCAAAGTGGACAAAATCCCAGCCTCTTTCCCCCAAAGTAGACAATATCCCAGTCGCTTTCCCCCAAAGTGGACAAAATCCCAGCCTCTTATCTCCAAATGGACAGAATCCCAACCTCTCAGCCCCAAAGTGGACAGAATCCAGCCTCTTATCTCCAAAGAAGACAAAGCCTCAGCCTCTTATCTTCAAAGTGGACAAAATCCCACCCTCTTTCCCCCAAAGTAGACAATATCCCAGTCGCTTTCCCCCAAAGTGGACAGAATCCCAGGCTCTTATCACCAAAATAGACAAAATCCCAACCTCTTATCTCTAAAGTGGACAAAAAACCCAGCCTCTTATCTCCAAAGTGGACAAAATCCCAGCCTTTTATCTCCAAAAGTGGACAGAATCCCAGCCTCTTATCTCAAAAGTGGACAAAACCCCCAGCCTCTTATCCCCAAAGTGGACAAAATACCAGTCTCTTTCACCCAAAAAAAGTGGACAGAATCCCAGCCTCTTATCTCCAAAAGTGGACAGAATCCCAGCCTCTTATCTCAAAAGTAAACAAAAAATCCAACCTCTTATCCCCAAAGTGGACAAATCCCAGCCTTTTATCCCAAAGTGGACAAAACGCCAGCCTCTTGTCAAAAAAGTGGACAAAACCCAGCGTCTTATCTCCAAAGTAGACAGAATCCCAAATTCTTATCATCAAAGTGGACAAAATCCCAGCCTCTTGTCTCAAAAGTGGACAAAATCAGCCTCTTTTCTCAAAAAAGTGGAAAAAATCCCAGCCACTTATCCCCAAAGTGGACAAATCCCAGCCTCTTATCTCCAAAGTGGACAAAATCCCAGCCTCTTATCCCAAAAATGGACAAAATCCCGGCCTCTTATCTCAAAAAGTGGACAAAACCCCCAGCCTCTTATCCCAAAAAGTGGACAAAATCCCAGCCTCTTATCTCCAAATGGACAAAATCCCAACCTCTCAGCCCAAAAAGTGGACAAAATCCAGCCTCTTATCTCCAAAGAAGACAAAGCCTCAGCCTCTTATCCCAAAAGTGGACAAAATCCCAGCCTCTTTCCCCAAAGTAGACAATATCCCAGTCGCTTTCCCCCAAAGTGGACCCAATCCCAGCCTCTTATCTCAAAAGTGGACAAAAAAATCCAGCCTCTTATCCCCAAAGTTGACAGAATCCCAACCTCTTATCCCCAAAGTGGACAAAATTCCAGCCTCTTATCGCCAAAATGGACAGAATCCCGGCCTCTTATCTCCGAAGTGGACAAAACCCCCAGCCTCTTATCCCAAAAGTGGACAAAATCCCAGCCTCTTATCTCCAAAGTGGACAGAATCCCAACCTCTCATCCCCAAAGTGGACAGAATCCAGCCTCTTATCTCCAAAGAAGACAAAACTTCAGCCTCTTATCTTCAAAGTGGACAAAATCCCAGCCTCTTTCCCCCAAAGTAGACAATATCCCAGTCGCTTTCCCCCAAAGTGGACAAAATCCCAGCCTCTTATCTCCAAATGGACAGAATCCCAACCTCTTAGCCCCAAAGTGGACAAAATCCAGCCTCTTATCTCCAAAAGAAGACAAAGCCTCAGCCTCTTATCAAAAAAGTGGACAAAACCCCACCCTCTTTTCCCCAAAGTAGACAATATCCCAGTCGCTTTCCCCCAAAGTGGACAGAATCCCAGGCTCTTATCACCAAAATAGACAAAATCCCAACCTCTTATCTCTAAAGTGGACAAAAAACCCAGCCTCTTATCTCCAAAGTGGACAGTATCCCAGCCTTTTATCTCCAAAGTGGACAGAATCCCAGCCTCTTATCTCCAAAGTGGACAAAACCCCCCAGCCTCTTATCCCCAAAGTGGACAAAATACCAGTCTCTTTCACCCAAAGTGGACAGAATCCCAGCCTCTTATCTCCAAAGTGGACAGAATCCCAGCCTCTTATCTCTAAAGTAAACAAAAAAATCCAACCTCTTATCCCCAAAGTGGACAGTATCCCAGCCTTT